ACCCTGGTGCTGGCTGTCACGCCCTGCCTGGCAGCCGATTTCTCTTTATTCTGTCTGCTCTTTGTTCCTCTGTTCCTTTCTTCTGTCCTTTTTTTGGGTGGGGGCTAATTCAGTATTTTTTAGTATTCCTTTTATCTCCTTGGGTTTGTTTTTTTTTTAATGTCTTTTGTGTTATGTTTTAGTTGTTGCTCTAGAGATTACAATATGCATCTTTAATTTATCATAGTCTACCTTCCAAAAATATTCTACCGCTTTAGTAACCCGACTTTATATTATTGTATTTTTACTTTTAGCAGTTTATAGTCTTTTAAGGAGATTTAAAGGTACACACACACGTATATATCTAATTTTTTTTTTAAGCCCCTTAGTTATTTACTGATACATTCACCCTTTCTGGTGTTCTTCATTCCTTCCTATAAAACCAGATTTCTATTTGGAATCATTTCCCTTCAGACTAAAGAATTTCTTTTAGCCTATTTTTGTAGCATGAGTCTTTTGGAGACCAGTTCCTTCAGCATTTGTCTATTTAAAAATGTTTATTTTCCTTTCATTTTTGAAGGATATTTTCACTGGATATGGAATTTGAGGTTGACATTTTTTTTTTTCTTTAAGCACTTTAAAGATACTATTCCATGGTTCTCTGCCTCCTTTGTTTCTGATGAGAAGTCAACCATTATTCTTACTGTTTTCCAATATGTCGTGTGTCTTTTTTCCTCTGGCTGCTTTCAAGATTTTGTCTTTATTTTTAGCAGGTTGACCTTGATACATTTATATGTGGTTTTCTTTTTATTTATTCTGCTTGTGGTTCACTGACCTTGGATTTGTGGATTGGTTTTATTCATCAATTTGGGAAATTTCTTGGCCATTATCTTGTCAATATTTTTTGTTTTATTCTTTCCTCTGCTTCTGGGACTCCATTTGTATTTATGTTAAGCAGTTTTTTTATCATCCCAAATAAAAATAAAATTGATCTGTAATTTTTTTTCACTTTTTTTCTCTGTATGTTTCAGTTTGAGTTCTGTTCACCTGTCTGTCCTCAAGTTCACTGATTCTTTCCTCTACCATGTTCAGTATTTTAAGCTCATCAAAATAATGATCCATCTGTAATATAATACTTTTCATTTCTAAAATTTGTGTTTGCCTTTTAAAAATACAGTTTCTATATCTTTGCTGAAATTCTCTTTTTATTCATGTCGTCCACCTTTTCCACTAGATCTTTTAACATGTTGATCACAGTTATTTTAACAGCCCTATCTGAGGATTCCAACATTTGGGCCATCTCTGGGTCTTGTTCTGTTGGACTCTTTTCCCTCTTGTCAATAGTTTACATTTTCTTGCATCATAACATGTCTCATAATTTTTTTTAAGTGCCAGACATTGTGTGTAAAAGAACAGTGGAGACTAAAGTAGAAAAGGTGGCTGTTAGTGTAGATGAATTGAGCCAATGTAGTCAATTAGGTGAACTGGGTCTGGGCTTTGTTGTTGCTTTATAAATAATCAATTCACCACTACTTTCAAATTATTTAAGGGTGGGATAAGACTTTCCTTTTAGTAGGACTTGGGATCTGCACGTCCGGAGGGTTTTACTCAGTTCTCCTGCTCTAGCCTCTACTAAGCCCCATGTAACTGTACCTTAGGAGTGCGATGGGGGAGGTGGTTCTGTCTCAGCTCTCCAACCCCTCCCCCAAATATAGATGGCTACTGCTCTGGTTGAACTTCTCTGACTTGATGTCCTTTGGCTGTCTTTTTTGGTAATCTTGGGATCAAATAATTTTTTTTTTTTTTCTCCTAGCCACTGTAGTCTGCAGATCAAGGCTCTGGCCAAAATCCATGCCTTTGTTCAAGACGCGTGAGTGTTGCCCACTTTTCAGAATTCACTTATTTCAAGGGAAGATTTTCCTTGCTCCTCCCTCAGACTGGTTCTTTTTTTCATTTTAACAAACATTTAAAAACACCTACTCTTTTATCTTGTACTCTGCTATGATCTCTGAAGGACACCAGAGAAGTATATGGCATGAAACTTGTCCTCAAATACTCAACATTGTCTTTGGGCAGATAAGAGTAACTCAGGGAAAGGCTACAGGACGAGTTACGAACAGCGCGTCGGAGGGTGGAGAGTGGCGTAGCATAAATAGAATACGTGACGTTCGGGGAACCCAGAGTAAAGAGTGGTCGGGGAAAGCCTCCGGTAGGGGGTGAACATAAGCTAATTCAGTTTTGTGGGGCATAGTGACATCTGTCGGGATGGGCTTCACGTGGCCTGTGTTAGCAGAGGGGGAGCCAGAACGTGCTGATGGGTGATTGGAAGAGGAGTGTGTGTGGGAACCCTGGCATCCAGGTGGTCGGGAGGGTCCTCTCTTCCCTTCCTGTTGTGGTGGGAAGGGGGGGCAACCCCGGTTCGTGTACACCTGAGCTCCCGGCTCCACGAGGAGAGCCATGAGAGTGCTGCGAGCGCCCCGGCCCGTAGCAGCATGGCCTCTGGGTGTGCACTCACGTGTCCATTCGTTAGGCCTCCTCTCCGGGGTTCTGAGGGCTGCACAGGGGCACACTCCTGTGCCTCTTGGAGGTTTTAATCACTTACTGGCTTCGTTTTCCCAGGACCCTGAGTGAGCCTCGGCAGGCAGAAATCCGGAAAGAGTGCCTGCGACTCTGGGGGGTGAGCATCTCTTTCAGCCCCTTGTCGCTCCAGGGCAGGGCTGTAGAGAAGAATAGGACTGACTCCCAACCGTGGCCTTAGGTCTCCCCCCACCTGAACATGCCTGCTGCCGCACAGCATCCCAGAGCCGGACGTCTCGGCATTGCTGCTCGTTACCCCCTTGGCCCTTTCACTGCCGGTTTGGCCCTGCAGCTGGGTCAGAAAGGACGGGGTGGTGGGGGGACAGGCTTCATTTCGGCTACTTCCTTTCTCTGTGGTCTCTGGGGTGTGCTACCACAGGGCCTGCAAGGGAACGGTGACTGAATTGTTCACCTCCATCCCCCTCATTCCAGTCTCCTTTGTCACGTGCCATTTCCCCTTCCCCAGTCCGAACCTATCCCCTCATTTGCACACCCTCACTGCTTGTGTTGGTCAAAAGGGCATTTGAAAATCAAAACTCGTTGCTATCTTGTTTCAGATCCCAGACCAGGCTCGAGTTGCTCCTTCTTCCTCAGACCCCAAATCTAAGTTCTTTGAGCTAATCCAGGTAAGTCTGGTATCTGTGGTGAAAACAAGAAGTTGGAGCCTGTCTCTAGATGCAGACAGTATCCTTGAGGGCCGGATGCATGTCCTCCAGAGGGCTCGTGCAGGCGCCCTCCTGGGCTCTGAGGCTGCTACCGTTGGGAACCTGTGGTACAGGGTACTGAGTTCTCCAAGGAGCACATCAGGCCGACTAAAGATTCTTGTCCAGAGATGTGCTTATGCTCAGCATTCCTGCCACCCTGGTGCTGGCTGTCACGCCCTGCCTGGCAGGTTCAGGGTCCCGCGGGATTTGCCTGCAGAGGAGATGGAATATGGGAAGATCGTAGACAGGGGAGCTGGGCAGCGGGCCGAGGGATCTGCCTGGGTAGCCCACAGCGGGGCTGGCCTGATCCCTGGTTCCTTGTCCTGTTTCTGGGGAGCTGTCCTCAGAGTAGAGTTCTTCTGCTGTTCTTTTCTACCACACAACTTCCAGCTTTTCCCTGGGCTTCATTTAAATCTGGCCTAGATCATGGGCCATTATGCTGGTTTTGTGGGGGTCAGGCACTGGAGACTGAGGCTCAAGATAGTCTCAAAAGAATAGCATGTGTACATTTTTCTGAATGGGATAGCGAGATCGCTTAACCACTCTCAAACCAGCTGCTAGAGAATCCTTGCCTTTAGTTTTATTCTTGTGACATTTTCTTCCAGCTCTGATAAATCAGTCGGTACGTGGGAACTCAGTGTTCTTTCTTCTCCATCCTTCCTAATAGGTCCTACAGGAACACTCCAAGCAGAGGGAAATAGATCTCACTTAGTGCATGTTAGGTGGAGAAGGGAGTGCAGGGGAGCATGTTTCAGAGAGCAAGTGCTTCCTGTCCCTTGCCTCTCCCAGCCTGCCCCCGGGCCCCTACAGGCACTGTCCCTTGTGACTGTCCCTTGCCCCACCCAGCAGTGTTTTCTCTGACCCGCGGCTGCAGGGCACTGAGATCGACATCTTCAGCTACAAGCCCACGCTACTCACGTCTAAAACCCTGGAGAAGATCCGTCCCGTGCTCGACTACCGCTGCATGGTGTCCGGCAGCGAGCAGAAGTTCCTCATTGGCCTGGGGGTGAGTCTGCAGCTGGCTTCCTACCAGCTTGGGATGGCAGAATTGCCCTCTGTGGGAATCTGGACAGCTGCCTGCCACTCCGTGCGTGTTCTCTTGGCACCAAGGAGCTGGGGCTTTGACCCTAGTGAAGGTATTTCTTGAAACTTCGTTTCCTTTCTTCCTCTGAGTTTGCCAAGTGTCATTCATTTGTTCTTTCACTTATTCATGAGTTTTGTTTCTTTAACTGTATGCATTGCTAAAGGGAACACTGCTGCTTTACTTACGATACGCAGCTTCCCAGGCTAGCAGCATGGTCAGCAGGCTAATCTGGCTTGAGCCCATGCAGCCGTTTCTTTGCAACACCACCACCACCCTATGTCATCCCATCTTGCAAAGACACCCTCTGTCCTTACCCTGGGCCCCTTGGAGTCTAAAATGCAGTGAGAGAAAAGCCTTGGAAAGTTCTCTATCTTAATTGGGTAAAGTCATTGCTTTTTCTTTCAACTCTGACTTGTCTTTCTGTATAATTTGATCTCTTCTTCCTTAATTAACTACTTTTGTGTCCTCTCACGCTTTGTCTTTTTCTCCTTTTACTTTCTCTCTCCTCCTCTGCTCTCTGGACCCTTCACCAAACCCACCCCAGACACACACCAAGCTGGATCTTTCTTCAGGGCCACTGATCATGGACTTAGGTCTTTTGAATGGTGCCGTGGGCCTGTTTCCTCCTGTAACAGGACCGAGCCAGGTCACCACTTTTCTCCTGCTGAGGCCGTGGAGAACACTGCTGTCATGATCACTGAAGTATAATAAACTTAATCTCTCCTAGACATTTTCTTTGGACATTTCCCAACCCCATCAGCTTCTAGCTGCCAACTGAAAGCCCTTTTGAGAACTGAGCCTCTTACCCCTCAATCTCCTGACCAAGCCCTTTCTCTCTGCCTGCAGAAGTCTCAGATCTACACGTGGGATGGCCGCCAATCAGACCGCTGGGTCAAGCTGGACCTGAAGACAGAGCTGCCTCGGGACACTCTGCTCTCTGTGGAAATTGTGCATGAGCTGAAAGGGGAGGTCAGAGATGGTTCTGCGTAGGCATTGGCCCTGCAGCAAGGGGACCGGGCTACTGCCGAGCCTGGTCCTTTGCCCTGAGTTAACTTGGTTACCCTGTGTGTGTGTTGACAGGGCTCAGGGCTGAGGAAGGGTTTCGTAATTATTCCTTCTCCTCGAGCAGTTGCTGTAAGCCATGGTAGATTCAGGTCGGAAGGAGCGCAGTCTCTGTATGTGTTGGAGGAGACCTCGATCATCTCTGTGCATTGAGGGCCCTGGTGGGCCCGATGGGTGTTTTTTTAGCTGATTGAATTTTTGACCAGGGATCCCTTGGGAAAGAAGAGACTTGTTATTTCCCAGGAGCTTTGAGTATTACAGCTAAATGGCTGGTATTCTGAATAGACGGTGGGAACGGTTGGCAAAGGGTGGGCAGCTCGGCCCCGGTGGGAGCACCGTGGCAGCAGCCCTGATGGGTTTGAGGTTCAAGGGGCTCATCATCCAAAGCCACAGATCTTCCCCTGCTCGGCAGCTCAGGTCAGTCTGGTGTGGAGAATCAGCCGGGAGGGAGGCAAGAGAAATATCCTGTGTTCAGAGCCCCACCCTTCCCCCAGCCGTGGGTGGGATGGAGGCCAGCTTGCCGTGGGGGGCAGTGTGGGCCACAGGCTGTTGCCTAGCAGAGTAGACAGTGTACTTGTGCTTCTAGGGGAAGGCCCAGCGGAAGATCAGCGCCATCCACATCCTCGACGTCCTCGTGCTCAATGGCAGTGATGTTCGGGAGCAGCACTTTAACCAGCGGTCTGACCCTGGGCCCCAGGGTAGGGAGGGCGGGGGTGGGCCAGGGCAGCTCTGCGGGCAGCAGCCTCCCAGGCTCGGCCCCTCACCCAGGCCTTCTCTGCTGTGGCCATCCTGAGAGTTTCCCTCCCCCACCCACTGGCCAGTCCTGAGGGCAGGGTGAGAAACTGGTGTTGGCACTTCAGAGTCTGCTAGGGTTTGAGCCTTGGTTGTCATAGATACCAACACGCTCTGTTTTGCCACAGCTGTTCAGGTTGAGGTGATATTTGTGTTAAGGCTCAGCAAGAGTGACCTTGTGGGAAGAGGGAGGACTCCTCTAAAGAAATGTCCTGTGTCTGAGTGGTCCCATTTAAGTTGGTTCATCTGAGTGGGTACACTGTGGTGTCTGTGGTTTCGGGTGACACGGCAGACACAGTACAGGTGATACTTGAAGTCGTAGTGGAGGTGACTGAGCACAGCTAAAGGCATACTCTTCAGGAAAACCAACAACATAGTGTCACTAGAGGTCGGAGTGCAGAGAGGGGGAGGGCATGAATAAAGACATCCGTGGAGAAGGGCAGGTGGCCTGCCGGAAGGGCACAGGTGGTCTTGGAGCAGTTTTGCTGCAGATTCATGAGGTTCTCCCACTTGTGCTGTGAAAACGCCCTGGGGACAGGGCTGCTGGTAGAGCCACCCTTGCTTGCCTCTGAGAGACTCTGTTTGGATTGTAGAATTCAGCTTGCTGAGAAATTTGTGAAAGCCGTTTCCAAGCCTAGTCGGCCTGACATGAATCCCATCAGGTGAGCATATGGTCGCTCCCCTCCCTGCTGCTGCTTTCCGGCCGATGCCACGCTTCTGTCCAGCGAGGGATGGGAGGGCTGAGTGGCGAACACTAGGCGAAGCTAGTGTTAGAGATAAGGCTGCCCTTGACGAGCAATTTGTTTGGGGGTGCTTGGGGGTAACTACTCCCCAGAGTGTCTCCCTGTGCTGCCTGGCACGTGGGGGAACCTCCTTCTGCGAGTGCTAACACACCTCAGGAGTCACCACTCACACGGGAGCATCATTAGCGTGCCCCCCGGCCTTTCGTTGTTTTCAGGTATGAACAAGGTGCCGAGGGAATGGAATCTTGAGCATGAAAAGACGGACGGTTTGAGGCAGCGGGACCCTCGGTGCCTGGGGAGAGGCCAGGGCTTGCTGTCGTGTTAGGTGGTGTGGAAGTTCCAGGCCCCTGAGAGGGAAGGGAGGGAGAGAAGAGAGTCAGGGAGAAGACAGACAGAGAGCAGGCTTTTCCAGGGTAGGCCGAGGGCTGAGGTTGTTACCCAAAGGGCACTGCTTAGCCCTGCTCCTTGGGGCTTCATGTGGCTTAAGTGTCTGTTTATACTTTATCAAAGCATTTTTATTATTTTTAATGTAAATTTACTTAGTTAAAATTAAATCCAGTATTAAGAATACACTTAACAGATGTCACGTGAAAGTCTAAAAGGAATTTCTATCTGCACTTTAAAATACCCCGTCCGCTAGGTCCTGAAAGGCCGCTCCCGGGACCCAGCCTCCATGGCTTGCGGTCTGGGGCCGGGTCTCCGGGAACCTTACCGAGCAGCAGTTCCAAAGGCACGTTCGGGCCCCCAGCGGCGGAGGGTGGGCATCAGGCGAATCCCTCATCCTGGTAGGGCCCCTGCCCGGTAACCACTGTGGGTAATAGGACTGTTAGGACTATTTAGAAGTAACTCTGCTATACGAAGGCGGAAAATCCATGTAGACAGACCAGGTTCGTCCTTTGTTTTCTGGCCTCTGGTGACGGTGAAGATGGGGGTAGGAATGTTGGCAGAGACATCTTTGTCTGCCAAGGCTTTTCTTCCTCTCTCTCCCTCTTTTCTTGGAGTAACTAGAGTTGCATTCTCCAGTTGCCCCAGGGCAGGCCTGGAATGCTGCCTGGCAGCTCTGAAACCTGGGGCTGGTCTGTGTAGGATCCTCCATCGTGGTGGGCTCGGTGGCTGCAGAGAGGGCCTGAGCAGAGGGCAAGGGCAGGTGCAGACCCTGCCTACTAGCTGCCTCCCGGAGGAGAACGCCCCCCAGGAAGCCTTTGCCCATCCTCTCTCCGTCCCTCTCCCCGCAGGGTGAAGGAGGTGTACAGGCTGGAGGAGATGGAGAAGATTTTTGTCAGGTGAGTGACTCGACCAGCGCAGCTCAGGTTTGGAGGGGAGCAGGGGTGGGGGGCATGGCCGAGTCCGGGATTCATTTCCTGTGTTTTCGTAGAGATGGGTTGGGGCTGGGGTGGTGAGTTGGCCCTGGAGGCCGCCTCTCTACCCCGCACCCAGCTTGCCTCCAGCTTGCCCCGTGTGGCTCCGCTGCAGCCAAGAGCCCCCCGGCTGAGAGCTGATTCAGCACCCTGTCAGGAGGGGAGCAGGGCGGGTGTGTGTCGGGCAGAAATACGGGCTCACTGACGCTGTTATAGTCACGGCTGTCCCTGCGAGGGGCAGACAGCAAGCTGCTTGAAACACCGTAAATCCCAGCTCCCAGTGCTGAGAGAGAGATTGAGCCTGGAGGGGTGGGGGGCATAAACGCTCCCTCGTATTCTTAGCGGGGTGCGGGGTGCTCGGGTGCTCACGGGTCTGCGTCTTGTCCTGGGCGTGCCTACGTGGAGGCGTTACTGTTAACTCGTTAGAGGCTGCAGTGTTGCCATGGCACCCGTGGTTTCAGATCTCACCCTTGGCATCACCCTGAAACTAACCGAACAGCAATGACACAGCAGGGTCATCTGTTACCCCCCCTGCCTCCATGGCTTGGGGGGGCGTTCAGAGCCTGAGTTCTAAACCCAGCACTGCCACTAACTCGTCTCTGTGCCTCAGTTTCTTCTTATGTCAAACTAGGATAAAATACTGTCATTGTTATGGTTTTGATATTAGCAAAGACTAACGTTCGGGCTTTTTCTCTCTGACACGCGTGTGTGTGCAACCGTTTGCACCCTTACTCGGGGAAATCAGGTTAGAAATGAAGATCATCAAGGGCTCCAGTGGCATCCCAAAGCTCAGCTACACAGGGCGTGACGACCGGCACTTTGTGCCCACAGGCCTCTATATCGTCAGGACAGTGAATGGTGGGTGCTGAGTGACTGCTCCCTGCCCTGCCCCGCTCCCTCCCGCTCCCGGCCGGAGGGATGGCCCAGACCCTGGCTGAGCCAGAGCTAAGGGCTCTCTGCCAAGGTGGGCAGCAGCCAGGCCGGCATTTCTCAGAGGCGTATGGAGGTTGGGTTGGGGGTGGGGAGACAGGAGCTCAGCTTGGACATACACGCACGGTGCTGCCACGGCAGGACGGGGCCTTCTCTGTAGACAGAGGCAGATCCGGAAAGTCAGGCTGAGGGTCTGTCCATTTGCACCCCCTTGTCTTCAGTGCTCTCTTGCTAACAGAGTCCTGCATCCTCTGCCTGAGTCCTAGCAGTGTCACCCTGGTGGCACGTTGTCAGGCCTGGGGTGAGGTTGTTGAGAAGTCACTTTCTTAGTCCTCCTTGGAGCCCCTTTGGGCTGGTGATGAAGGCTGCTCCCTCATGGACTGTCCACTGCCTGCTTTGGGGGGATGCGGGAACAGGATGAACAGGGTGGGAGGAAGCCACATCCCTGTGCTGGCTGGTCCTATCCCTCACGGGTGCTTTGTGTGCTTTCTGGGCTTCTTCCCGCTGTCGCCTGTCAGAGCCGTGGACTATGGGATTCAGCAAAAGCTACAAGAAGAAGTTCTTCTACAACAAGAAAACCAAGAGCTCTACTTTCGACCTCCCTGCAGACTCCATCGCCCCATTTCAGTAAGTAGTCCCCCCGGCAGCCCCAAGGACTCCAGCCGGGATGCCAGCCCGCCCGCCCTCCTGAGGCACGCTCCAGGTCCTCACATGATTGCTGCCCACGCAGGGGCTCCTCTGAGCCAGGTTGTGCTCCTGTTGAGCACCTTCATCCCCACAAAGGTGGGGCTAGGCCTGGGAATAAACAAGCTCAGTGAGAGACAGAGGTGCCCTGACCTGCTGCGATGGCTGGGGGTCCTGGGTGTGAAGGTCACACCTGGGCAGTGCATCTGCCCCACAGAGCAGCCACTGCTTGCGTAGTGTTGACACTGGCCTGGGGGTGGGAGCATGCTGAGGGCCCACAGCCCTGCTGCCTGGGACTCAAGGCCCCCCGTGCCCCACATCAGAACCCAGCATCCATTTGCCAGGCCGTTGGCCACAGGTTTCAACAGCAGCCCCAACGTACCTGTAATTAGTCACTGACACTTGTTTCTGTCACCACACTAACACTGTTCTATTAGAGAAGCACAGACAAATGAATATCAGTAATTGTAGGAGAAATGAGCAGCGACATCTGTTTGTTGGGAAAAGTTGGTTCTGGGAGGCAGGGAGGAGCAGCTGGGGCCTGCTGCGTACCTCTTGGCTGCCAGAGGGAAGACCCATGGGCCCGTGGGCCCCATGTCTCTGACACCACGTTAGGAGCCAGGGAGCAGCTGTGTTTGGTCCTGGGTGTGACTGCCTCCTGGGGTGTAGAGCCTGTCTGGGCCCCAGTCCCTTTTGATCCAAACGTCGGGCAG